CCCCCCCGGAGACGCCTCGAACGTGGCATCGACTTGTCGGGCTGGGGCTGGGGTGGAGGCGAATGCTGCGCGTCAGCTTAGCCCCTACCAGGGCGGAACGGGGCCCGCTGGGCCCCCACCCCCACTGGAAGGCCGCCCCCCAGGTGGTGTTTGCTCCGGGAAAACGGTGCTGCGGAGCTGGCGTCTTTTAAAGCCACAAGTTACTTCCTGCGGACACCAGGAAGGAGCCAGCTCGGATTTGGGCACTTTCTCTCCTAGGCAGCGCATCAGCCCTCTGAGAAAACGCTGCCAGAGCCCCGTTCTTGCGCGTCAGCGTGCTTGGACTCTTGACAGTCAGGTGCCCTCCGGTTCCCTTCTTGGCTCTCGCTCCCCGCCCCCCTCTCTCCTGTACCCCAGTTCTTGTATGCATAAACAAATAAGTCTTTAAAAAGCAAGTTCTACAGACCTGCAGGAAGTTTGGCAGGCAGTCCTAAGAAACCTGCCCCTGACTGCCATCCTGGGATGCTGGGCAACATCTGGGCGTGTTCCCTCATGAGAGCAACTCCAGACCCAGTGCGGGCCCGCTGGCCGGGGTGTTTTCTAGCCCGAGTGGATGCAGCACTTCGGTGGAGGCACACAGCATTATTATTGTCAGGCCTGGGCTGAGGCGTCCGTGCCCGGACCGAGCCCGAGATGGCCCCAGCTCTGCCTCCGTGCACTCGTGTGGAGCTCTTGTCCAGGGCGTGATAGCAGGACCTGTGAGGACGCAGCCTCCTCCTGGTGTGGCACGGCTGCTTGTCTTCCTCGACGTCAGACAGGCGTCCGGACCCTGAGGCCCTCGGCCCTGGTGGTCACTTGCTGGCATCCCCTCTGTTACGGCGCCGGAGCGAGTCAGGGACGGGCCTTGCCTACTGTCGTGCAGCTGACTCTTAGAGGATCCAGGTGCATCCTGGCCCACTTTGGGGTGTCCTTGCCCACTTTGGGGCGCCCTCCCAGCTCTGCCTCCCCTGCTGCAGGCTACAGTGGCCTTTCTCCTGTATCCCATAGCCTGTGTGCCCCCTCTTCTCTGCAGACAGCCGTGGACTATGGTTGTCCACTTCTGTCGGTCTCGACTTCCTCAGGGCTTGTCCACTTCTGTCTCTGTCCCGACTTCCTCAGGGCTTGTCCACTTCTGTCTCTGTCCCGACTTCCTCAGGGCTTGCCTGCCTTTCAGCTCTGTATCTTCACAGCCAAATCACTTGCGAGCTGCTAAAGGGTCAGTTCTTTAAGTGAACGTGTTGGGGGTGGTGGAGAGCCAGCCACCAACCCTCGGGTGTCCTGATGGCAGAGAGGGAGGGAGACTTCTGTGGCAGTCAGTTGTTCACCTCACAAGTGTTGCCTGCACACGCATTTGGTGCAGACACTGTCCCCGAGCACTTCAGCGCAGGGCTGCACAGAGAGCCACTTCTTGTGGCGCTTCCCTTCCGTGGGAAGACAGACGCTCTGTGAGGACTTCCACGTTCTGCGTTTGTACTGAGGGCTGGAGAGAAGAAGGGCGTAGGAGAGCCAAGCAGGCGGGAAGAGGGTCGGGGCAGCTTTTCTGAGGAGCTCCGAGCTCCCTGTGAAGGTGGGTGGGTGGGTGGCGTGGACTGCCTTGTGCAGAGGCGCCGAGGCGGGCAGAGCGGAGCTTTCCCAGAAGTGCGGGTCGGGGGGCAGAGGCCACGCTGCGGCCGAGAGGGGCCATGGCCATGTTCTGGAGGGCTCTGCGGTGTGCTGGAGGCTGGGTTCCGGCCTGCGAGCAGCAGGATGCTGTCTTAACACAGTGCCCGGCTATGAGCACGTGCTTTTGAAGAGAAACTGAGGTGGGCAGGGAGTGACCGGCACCATGAGGGACCTAGAATCTGTGGCCTCTCTGGAACGCTTAGTCCAAAGAAGGAAGAAAAGGGTTGCCATGAACGAGGAGTTAGTAGGAGAGGAAGCACGTGTGTGTTGCCTTGAAAGCAAACCTCAGACGAGTGGGTGAACGTTCCAGGGGGTAGATCTTGCCTCAATGTCCGAAAGTGCCTCCCAACTTCTAGAATTTGGTCAAGAACAGAATGGCCTGCCTTGAGGAATGGAGGACAAAAGGAGGGTGTGCAGGCAGCAGCTGCTGGCCTCTGGAGGAGCCTGTGGCGGGAAAGCTGTGTGGTGGGTGTGGCCTTTGGGCCTGTGGTCCTGTGAGTCACGTCAGATTTGTGAGTTTTCCTCCGCCTTGCAAGTGATTTGGCAGACCTGGCTTGACCTTGCCTCTTCTCTGATCTGAAAATTAATCAACTTGAAACTTTGTAAAAAGACATTTTTTTAAAGATCTATTTATTTATGCATATAAAACTGGGGTACAGGCCACTGGTGCAGGGGATGAGAGGATTCACCAGTGACAGAGTGGGGAGCAGAGCAGGCAGATCAACAAAGTACGGTGAGGGGAGCGGTGGGCGGGTCAGAAGAGGCTTGCTGCGCCCTGTGGGTCACCTCCCTGGCTGGGGATCGAACTCGCACTGCAATGTTTGCTGTAGCTTCGTAGTGCTGTGCTTCAACCCACGTGCTACCAGGGAGGGCCCGTAAAAAGATGTTTGTAATGGCGTCGGTTAGTGCTCTCTGGGTTAATGTAAACACTTGACGCTTTATTGGTTAAGTCGCTCAGCTGTGGGGTCCTGGTGGAGCCAGGAGCAGAGGCCTTGTGCCTGGAGGTGGGTCTGGCGCTCGCCGTGCTGAGTGGAAGCCCGCGGGGCCAGCCATTGGCGTGTGTTCTGAGAGCTGCACTCAGCCTGACAAGCTAGCTAGTCCCCGGTGTCCGTGTTCTCATGCGTGTGGGAAAGGGCCAGAGCTAGTAGAAAAAGGGGTGTTTCAGGGGGGAGAGTTGTTTGGATAGGAGGCTCTTAACTGCATTCACATTATAGAAATAAGCAACAGGCAAAAAATACCCAGTCTTGCCGTCTGTAATGGCTGATCAGGCAGGGGTTGAAAGGCAAAGAGGGCTGGAAATCGAGGGGGTGGAGGTGATGGATGGAGCAGAATCCTCATTTGGAATGGAAACGGCCCAGACACGGCTGTCTCCCGGCCCTGTGGATCTGGGGGAGCAGCTTGAGGGGGCGGGTCGGTGCTCCCAGCTCTCCAAGGCGGCGCAGTAATGAGCATTTCCGCTTCCTGGGCGTAAGTCTCCCTCCTGGGTGTAGTCGCCGGTGGGCTCTGAGTGGAGAAGATTTATTTCCCCTTGTTCCTCTCGGGTCCGTGACTGCCAGGCCCTGGCTTGCCTTGGGCTCCCGTGCCCCGGCTCTCTTCCCTGGGAGCATTCGCCACTTGTTCACACTGAGCCCGAACTGTTTCTCCCTTCCCCATCCTCGCCCTCATCTCGGTGGAGCTGCTGGTGAAGCTGGCTGGTGAGGTCTGGTAGAGGAGGAGCTGGGATTTTGTGGCGTTCTTTGTTTGGTTTTTGGAAAAGCGAGTCAGAGGCTCTGCTTGCAGGCCCTCAAGTGCTGCTTGGCATCTGGGGCCTGATGGTCTCCGCGGGGAGATGCAATTCTCCGCGCAGCCAGGCTTCACTCCCAGTGCCGTCTTCATGGGCTGATGCACCTCTCGTTGCTCTTTCCTTCCGGGGACGACACAGCCAGCAAAGGCCACCAAGAGAAAATGCCAAGCATCCGGGGAGGCTCCCCCAGCAAAGCGGAGGGGCCAGGCTTCGCCCCTGCCTGCCAGGAGCGCTGCGGCTACGCAGGCTCGGCAGCCGCGGAAGGGGGCGGCACCGGGCGCGCGTTGTCTGCGGAAGCCTCCGCCTGGCACGCCTGCTAAGCGCCAGGAGCAGAAGAGAGCGGGCGTTAAGACTTCCTCTTTGTTTAAGAACAACCCTGAAATCCCGGAGCTCCCCAGGTAAGTCCAGGTGCCGCCCGCTGGGAACGAAAGGGATGAAGCGGAGCCCCCGCGTCCTGGGGGCCGCGCCTCACGTGCGGCTCGTCCGTCCTTTGCAGACCTGCAGTCAAACAGGTGCAAGAGGAAGTGTTTACTTCAGATGCTTTTCACGAACTGGATCTTCACCCCCACTTAGTAAGTATCTTTCTGTTCCGCAGCCTGTTTCTGGGGGGTGTTGACTCAGTCCGTTTGTCCGTGAAATGACAGACACTCCAGGCAGGAGAATCAGAGAAGGGTTATTTCTGTTCCAAGTCACCTGGCTGACCCCAGACGGGTCGATACTTCTCCAGGACAGTTCACACGCTTCTGTTACCTGCTCCGTTACGTCGTGTTCTCACCCTTTGCCCCCCCCCCCTTTTAAAAGAAGGAAACACGTTCCTCCCCAGACGTATTTTGGGACAGCCTCCTCGTCCCTGGAGAGAGGGGGCGCGGGGGCAGCCGGGGCAGCAGCCAGGGAAGCAGCTGGGGAGGAACTGAGCTGGCGCGGCTGTGCAGGGCGGTGGGGCGGGACGCGGGGCAGAGGCAGCTTGGGCTAACACGCTCTCCGTACGGACAGACAGACAGACACCTGTGCGTTTGCCACCGACAGCTTCCCGACCGGCCACTCAGTGAGCGAGGACAGCTCACGGCGCTGGGTCTGGACCGCCTTTGTCCGAGCCTTCGTCGGTTACCTGCTCCTTTGGGGCTGGGCTGCTCCAGCTTGTTTCTCACCTCCAGGCTCCAGCCGGTTCTCAGCCTCGGTGCTGTGGCGTGGGCGGGTCCCTCTGCCCGCCTCTGTGTGGGTGGCAGTGCCCATGCCTCTCACCGGTGCCCGTGGCCTCTGTTCCCCTGCTGGCGGCTACTGGCGGTTCCCCCAGATGCCCCATATCCCACAGGGGAAGGCAGAACCATGCCCGGCTGAGAACCCCAGGTTGGAGGAGCTTGATTTGATGATGCTCATCAGTTTCCTCATTACCAGCATTAAATATACTTTTACCCAAAAATGATAAAATACCCATTTTGTTTGTTTTCTCTTGTAGATTTCTACACTAACTACGGTCTTAAAAATGTCCAGTATGACCAGGTAGGAGTTCCAGCCGGTCTTGATTCTGTTGAGGGGTGTAAGCAGGAGGGACTTGAACGCCCTTGCGCGACGGGGCCCGTGTCCTCTTGGCATTGGGGCAGGGCCCTGCCGCTGGCCCGAGGCCTCAGCTGTCACTGCGCTCCGTGTCTCTGGCTTTTAAAGGGAGAGGCTGAGTCTCCGCTGGAGTCCTGCTCGCAGCCCGCAGCTGCACCCTCTGGCCCTTGAGACGGCTCAGTGCCTGCGAGCTCCCACTGCTGCCCACGCTTCCTGGAGAATGATTACCCGGGATAGACGATTTATCCTTCCCCTTCTTACCAGTCAGAACTTAGAGTCCCCTAGCAGCAGGAGTGGATGCTAGCGGGTGCAGCGGGCACTGAAAAGTTGGGCAGCGTGTGGGGAGAGGAGTCCACAGCGTGGTGCCAGCGGCCTTCGTCCTTCAGGGACCGTGCTGTGCGTGTCTGTGGGTCCTGCCTGCCTGGAGGGAGCGCTGGTAGGAGTCAGCGCGACGAGGCCCGGCGCGGCCTGGGGTGCGCGTGCGGCCCTGTCTGGGCCTCCTGGGGAGAGGCAGCAGTCCAGCCTGTCCCCACAGCTCTCGACGGCCCCGGCCTGCTGCCTCGGGCTCGCGCCCGCACGCCGGGCGCACGTGTTGGCCCCAGGTGCGGAGCAGGAGGGCTGTGGTGTGCGCTCCTGCTGGTGCCGGCTTGCCCTCCAGCCTGTTTGCTTTTTAATTAGTTTAATTAGCTAAGTTCCAGAATCTGAGATGTTATTCTTCTACTCGTCAAAAGACTCTTAGCACCTTCACTTGAGTATTGAGGCCTCTCGTCCGTGGCAGCTGACGGACCAACCCAGCGCGGGGCTGTTGCATTCTGCGTTGCGGACAAGTGTGTTTTCTTTCTTTTGGCGCACAGCGTGCAGAAGCAGAGCATCCCCGCGTTGCTGGGGGGCAGAGATGCCCTGGTGAGGTCCCAGACGGGCTCAGGTCAGTGTGCCCCTGCCCCCTCCCCTTTGGTTTGGCACACCCTTGTTCACACAGGGAGGGGGTGGAGCGTGACAGGATGGAGCCATCAGAAAGTATATACAAGTTCTAGCGCATTCCTGGAGTCTGCCTGTCTCTTTTTGCCATGCTCCAGAGTAGTCTGGCCTTGCTCATCTGACCGCCTTCGTCCTCAGCGGAAGTCATTCTTCTCCCTCCCCCAGCCAGCCACCACTCACGGGTGGGAGCCTGAAGTCTTGTGTTCCGTGGCCTTCAGAGGTGGCGCCGGGCTCCGACCAACTCCTGCTCACGGGGGCAGCGGAAGCCCTGCCCGACGGCTGCAGCTCAGTGGTGTGGGGAGGCTGCTTCAGAGGAGGCGTTTTCTGGCCTCTGAGACAGCCGTCAGGTTGCGCTCCTCGGGTCATCTGGAAGGGTGTCCTGTGTCCCCTCCCGGATGGACAAGGGCCCAGGCTGCGAGGCTGCATCCGCTGAGCGGGACTGAGCTGTGGCCGGGCGGTGCCCGTGCGCCTGCGCGCCCGCCCTCCCCGGAGCCCCTCCCCGCTGCTGCTTCCCTTCCAGCCTCAGAGGCTGTGATTGTAACTGCTTTGTCCTTTGTTAAAAGGTAAGACTCTTGCCTACTGCATCCCCGTGGTCCAGTCCCTTCAAGCAATGAAGGCGAAAATACAAGTGAGTACAAGGCGCGTCTGTCGCGTGCGCGGCGTCACCCGGCGGCCGGCGGGGAGCGGCGGTGGCAGCAGTGCGTCTGCCCGCAGCGCGGCTTCCTCACCTTTTTGAGTCATGTTTCTCGTGAGCACGTTGCCTCTCGAGGAGAGGCCGTCCAGAGTGGAGTGGACGCTATGGCTCCACCCAGAGTGGACCGGGCTCACCCGCCGGGCTCTGTGTGCGGTGGGCTTGACCTCGTCCATCTTGGCTCCTTACCACCCCCTCGCCCCGACACCCCGTTGAATAGCTCGTGAAGGCCGTGGAACTGGGCCCTCCGCCTGTGTAGCTCTGGAGGCGGTGCCCCCGCCCCGGGGAGGGGCCGGGCGTGCTCTTGGCAGCAGCGCTCGATGCTGCGGACTGGGCCCGGGCAGCCGGGCACCTCGTGTCTAGCGCTCAGCTGTGGTTGGGAAGCACTTAGCTCATGCCCGGGCCAGAGGGCCAGAACCGCACCCCATAGGCCCTCCCAGACAATGCCGTGTTCTGTAGACAGCATCTCGGCACCTAGGCCAGAACCCCACAGACACCCACAGCCCGGTTAGTCTCGGCTGAGGGATCGGCTGCAATAGGAGGTGAGTGTGCTGCCCGAAAGAGGCGGGAGTCGCCCATCGCTGCCTGGCAGTGCCCGCGAGCCAGACGCGGCAAGCCTCCGCACACTCAGGTGACAGGACAGTTACTGACGGTGTTCGGGCAGCGCCCTGGGCTGGAGCGACATCCGCGCGTCCCCACTGACGGGAGTGAGTTATTAAACTCACGGGAGAAGAGAAATCCCTCCCTGCAGCAGAAGCCCAGTCGGCGCGACCGGGCGTGCGGGCACTGGAAGTGCACTCTGCTGTCAGGCCGGGCGTCGTGGCGTGAAGTGTGGTGAAAGGGGTTCTCACGGCCTCAGGTTCTCCCCACAAGCTGCCCCCGACCACGAAGGGAGAGGCAGCACTTCACCCTGGGGAGCCTGTAGCCCTCACCTTCCCCCAGTGCTCAGAGCTGCCCCCCAGGATGAGACACGTGGCCCTCGCGTGCTGCCAGGGCAGGGCGTGCGTGGCGCAGACAGCTTGACCTCATGGTTTCCTTGCCAAAATGTGTGACTTGAATCATAAATGAGCATCGGCAGACCTGGTTCTGGAACAGTCCGCAAAGTTACCGGCCAGTCCTCGTCAAAAGTACCAGGGCCATAAAGGCCAAAAGCAGCGGCCCCCGGGCTCCCGGAGACGAAGGCGCACGGCAGCCACGGCAGCTCGAGGCCCTCATCGCTGTCCTGTGCCGGAGGGCGCTCGGACCAGGTCTGTGGCTACTCTGGCAGCGACCGCTGCCCTGCGGCTCTGAGAATCCATGCCACACAGCGGAGCCGGCCGGGAGGGGCACGGGGCTGCTTGGTCCTAGTTGTACAGCTGTTTTATAAGTCGGAAGTTCCTTGACTTATTTAAGTAACTGAATTAATAAAAAACCACAGTTGTCCAGTGACGGGCCCTACACCGCACCGAGAGTGCTGTTTTGCTGTTAGCATTTGTCCTTTGTTATTGTTGGTCAAAGAGGGGTTACCAAGCCGTGCATAGCATGACTCCGGTTCGTAAATCATCTGTGTGTTACACACTCAAAAATATGACAAAGCTATTTATCATGCTACTCATACTGATTTTCTCTGAGGGAGAGAGGTGAGGAATTTTATTTCCTCCAGGTGGCTGATACTTTTCTTGCCTTAAGGCACTTTGTAGTGAGGTGATTCCTACAGTTGAAGACGGGAAAATGTAAATTATCGTGATAATGTGGCGAAGCCTCATTTCTGTGCCCCAGGAGAACCTCTCCATGGCAGAGAGCTCTTTCTTCATAGCAGCGGGGGTTTGGGAGGCTGGGGCGTGGGCGAGCCGGTGCCGAGGCCGTGCTCTGCTCCCCGAGCACTGCCGAGTCACGTCATCCCTGCGCCTCTCCCCTTCGGCCGAGGGCTGAGTGGGGCTGGCAGCTGAGGGCAGCGCAGGCCTTCCAGGCACAAGTGCGGGGTGGGGCGGGCCTGCTCGGGCCGTCAGCACATGGTGCACTTGCTCTCATCCGCCAAACACTTTCTGATGTCGGTTCGGTTCATCCTTCTGACGACCGAAACTTTCTGGGGAACCGTCTTTTCCAGGCCCAGATTATCGTCGCTCATCTGAGCTGATAGTCAGTGTAAGACCCTTCAAGGTGACTAAAGTCATCCGCCCTGTAAAAAGGCGCCTTCGGCGGGAGCAGCTGATGCCAGGCACCGGCGGCCTTAAATTACTTTGGCAGTGGGGCCGGAGCAGGCTTTGCCTTGTTTTCGCTGTTGTCTTATTTTGGCTCTGGTTTTTTAACGTTACATCCATCCTCTTCACTCGCACTGCCTGCGAGGAGTTGATTTCCTTTCTTCTCTGCTGTGTAGTAACACCGTTTGGAATGTCAGAACCTGCTAGCGTCGCCGAAATGCTGTGCTGACATGTTTACTGTTCCTCGCTGGGCCTCCGCTCAGCCTCCCAGAGTGCATGTTGAACACCGCATACTCCAGTGTGAACTCCAAATCCTTTTCTCCTCGCGGGTAAATGTTCCCTGCGAAAACCCGACCTGTAATTGAATCTGCAGCCAGATGGGCCTGACTCCGCACAGTGTCCTTGCGACTCCTTCAGGGGCCTGAGCGAGAGCGGGCAGGACCATCTGAGGGCCCTGGTGGGTTGCTTTGTTTTCTTTGACTATTGTGACTATTGCTGTTACAACTTTTAAATACAGGGCGGTGCTGGGAAAGCTGAAAGAATAAGTGTTCCCCCACCCCTCTGGTTTACATTTGTAGCCAGTATTTTGCTACAAAGCTGCCCTGAAGATGCAGCAGTGGGGCCCGCCCTGGGGGCCTGCGGATTGGAGTGCAGCCCTGGGAGGATGAAGCCGCTTCAACC